TTCACTGTGCAGCTTTCGACATTCAAGTGTTTGTTGAATAGTTTACCACTCTCATTGTTCATACCCTCTACAATTCAGCATACATGGGACCGCTCTAGATTACGCGTCGTAGTTGCGAATCATAGGTAAAAAACGTACTAAAGGATTCTCAATTGTTGCAATAAAGCGTGAGGATATTGGCAGTGCAGGTTCCTAAACTAGACCTCGCTCATGCATACTTCGCTTGGTCTAATTGCCGCCTCAACATTAAGTCAAATTACTAGGTGTATCGTAGCATTTGAAAAAATGCAAATTCTCCATTTTTGGCTGTTTGGCGATGCATGATCAAAATATATCTATGCGGCCATCAAAATCTCTTCCGCGGCGCTCGACGCTCGATTGAGTCAGTCCACTGTGGAATAAACGTGATAGCTAGCGAATTGGTCAATGAGCCTTCCTGAGCTGAAAATGTGCACAGGGATCTCAGTATGCAAATTACAACACATGATCTCCAGCCTCCTCTCGTCTATCTCATCCAGATATTAGATCAGGAATGCTGTTGCAACTCAGCTCTGCTTAGAGCCAAAAGATTTTCTGTAATGAAAACCATACTACTCAATGTGATTAGTTCGATGTGTGTATTGTGTTTACCAAACCCAAGCAATCCGATGGGAAAAATGCTTAATGTAAGAGTCGAAAGATTTCCAAACTCCGATTACTATCTTGCAGCTCTTCTTCTTACGTTTAATATCGACGAAAAAAATGATTCCGAGTTCGACATACGCTATAGCGATGGCTGTCGGACCTGAATGTTGCATAGCATACCATGAATGGTAAGCACTTTCCAAGCCAAATACTCAACTAAAATTTAAGTACCAAGCAAAAAAGAGAAGCCCGACGTGGGTCTCGAACCCACAACCTTGAGATAACCAATCGTGTCTAGTAAGGACGTGAAAGCTAAGAGTCTCACGCTCTACCGATTGAGCTAGCCGGGCTTGTTGTTTTTTGGATGAAAGATGTTGCATTTGTTACTCTCATATTTCACTCAGAAAATCCTTTTAGCAGCTATCACTACAAAATCTGCCTTCTGGGTTGTGCTTCGTTCCAAGGTTGTGTGGTAGTAAAGAAAATTTCATATGGCAAGGTGGGGCCGGTAGCGGCGGCGGCGGCGGTGATGGATCGGCGAACGTCATTCTGAGGATACTGCGCAAAGTGTCACCGGCAAACACATTTGAGTACTGTTAGCCCCGTTCTCCCGTAGGATATCCCGAGATGTGTGATAGTTTCTAGAGAAGGTCCAGCGAGGAGACTGCCCTGGTATCCAACGTGATCATGGTATCATGGTACTGCATGATCAGATTACTTAACTAGCTTTGCAACACAGTAGTTCTTTTAAGCATTCAAGCATGCCATATGAATAGCAGCACATGTCTCTGGACTGCCGCGAGCGATGTTGGGCTGCAATCTAGTGCTATTTCCGTTGTCGGTACTGAAAAGACCTTGATATATTGGTGTTGTCGCCTCCTAGTTTGCATGAGCTGGTCGCAACCAGCTTTAGTGAGGCTATGACCGGAACGTTTCTTCGAAGGTATGGAGAGGTCATGCTTTCACATAAAGCTGATGTCGTTTGGGGTATTAGACGGTAGCCGCCAGGCGATGTAGGCATAAACAGTAGGCATTGGTACGTCTCTACCTGGGATATAGGCAAGATAGACCGATAAAAGCTGAATTGAGAATCTTCAACAGAAGGCCTCACTAGAATAGACTGCTGTTCTCAGTGTTGACATGTAGTGGTATCGCAGCTGAGGACACCTTACACATGTCCACGCCCTAGTGACGCACATGAGCGCACGGACCCTACTACTATCTCATTCTGACACTGTCCCTAGGCACAGCTGTCAAGGCTGCAGACATTCAAATAGGCTTTTCGATTACTGTTCAGTTCATCTGGAATACTACTATTGACATCGAATAAGCCTCGAGTGCTGTATAGATAGTGGGGCAAGACGGGAATGGCGGCAGCTTTGCCACGGGGAATCTTGCAACAAGTAATCAGATATATCAAAGTGTTGTCTTGGGTCACGAAATCGGGAAGGAATGGTATTTTCGAATTTAACCAAGGATACATAGGCCGCGAAGCTGCGAAATTAGATATACCCAGAGAACAGTGTTGAAAAATGGTGATATTTGAGTCCAATCATCTGGCCCACCAGAAGTTATCTCGGGTTCAAGGAAGACAATGTCAAGAATACCTCACCATGACGAGCAAGAAGGCCGCTAATCTAGAACTCAAGTTTCTTTTTCAAGCTGTTCATTCAGATAGCGTTAGCGATAAATCATTTCCTTCGTAGGTAGTGGCCATTCTTGACTTGATGGGGGAGGGGGGCGGACTTAACCGCCTGGTTTCCACCTTTACTTTCTCTTTGTATTTTTCCTCACGTACCGAAGAGTGCGACAACAGGTAATAAGTTTCAAGGACTTCAAGCATGATATGTGGAGCATATAGACTTCGTAGACGGAATATATGATCTAACTTATAATTTCCCTCCGAAGAAAGCTATTTTGATGTAGAAGCCTCTGCTATCGGACCACTATATCACGAGATATGCCATTGTCACCGAAGAACCCCACCCCACCGGAGCCTTTTCCGCACTATATCGGCTGCATGGTATGTTTCTCCATGACAAGCAGCTCGATGCTCATGCCTTTCTATACTTGCTGAATTCTTCCCACAACCTCCCTTTGCGAGTCGCGATCTGAATACTTTCGGCGCGTTGTCACACACCCTTCGCATGATAGCAGTAACATCTCATATTTCACTGGTATTGATCGGAAGATGCCAGGTTGCTGGCCCAACTAAGTATTGGTAGTGTAGTCGGGGCCCAAAATCCATAGAGAGGAGTTTGAATTATGAGACCGTATGGGTGCACGAAACCGAGCGCGTGTTTCCTGAGAAAGGTATCTAATGCATGCTACATCCGCGCCAGTGATCTATGTGAAGCTGTGCCTTGTGTGGAAAGACTTTTACAATCTCCAAACACGTTCCAAGAGCGTCTCTCGTGTCTCGAGGGTCGGCTTCAAAGCCGAACATGAAACCTGTAACATTGTGAAGAAATGCAATTGGGGTATTCCTGCAAGAACACGTCATACTCAGACATACAAGGAAAAATTGAGAGAAAGCTTACTGTTGATTGCATATGCGATTGACATCGACGTGTCGAACCCAGGAAGTCTCCCTAGTCGAGGGACCTAGAGATTTAGCCATGGCCTTTCCTATCTCCCCAAACCAGGCAGTGGGAAGCAAGAAGAGTATTTATTGAATGATATCGGTGGGAGTTTGATGTATTCGTAGAGAAACCTGGATATGCAGGAGTCTAAATCAATGCTATTAATATGCTGGCTATTATCCGCTTTCGTCTAAGGTAAAATTCCACCTCTATGGTCTCTGAGACCAGAGTACGTGAGAGGCAATGAAGTAGAGGGCAATAAATTCTATCATTCAATTGGCCTAAACTTCAGGAGCTACTTTGAGAGTCAACATGGTCCCTCATCTTACTAAAATACCGACTTCATTAGAGCCATGCATAAGACAATGCATCCTTAATAGAACATGATGCCTTGCTCCTGAAATTCTTCCTTCAGAGCTCTCCAGGTGTAGGCATCCCAATCAATGTTTTTTTTACCGGCTTGGAATTCTGAGAGCCCATATGTAGATTCCCCACCCGATGCCATCATCTGATCAAATATAGCTCTAATGCATATACTCTGTGCCTCTTTGGTTGCTCCATTCTCACTAACTCTAACCAAATCTTTGACTATTGTAGAAGCCATTGGTGCAGCGGTTTTCAAACGTGATAAGTACCTCTACGAAGCATCTCAGGCCATTTCTTTATCTCGCCAAATCAGTCTTCAGTAGCTGGATATATGCATGACCATTCTAGATGAACTCAGGAAGACAAATTGGTCCGCGGATTTTTTACTTCGAATATTATCGGCTGCCAAGGCCAGAGTTATGGATAGAACAGGGCAAAGCCCCGCGAATGACGGAAGTCTGACAAGGGAGACTGAAGTCCCAGAAGGGCGGCCTAATGAACGAGGTTACACTGGGCTGCCCACTATTTTTCCGGAAGGTCAAGATATAGATCCGGCAGATTCCGGTGCATTTCTCTCTTCGGCAACATCTTTAATATTTCAGAATTGGATTTTCTGAAGTTTCCAAGCCATGAGCAAGTTGATCAGTAGCTTCACATTTCCCTGGCAGGGCGTTTGCCTTGAAGGAGCCTTTGTTTGCAATATGTGCTTACAGAGCCTGCTCTATCTAGACTCGCTATGCCTATGGACTGGAACCTGGGCGTGGACACGGCGATTTTATCGGCAGACTTTGTCACTTCATAGAGTACAGGCTCCGAGCTCTGCACACAACTGGAGAGTAATCTACTGTTTGCAACTAGCGTCTAGAAGAATATTTTAAATACATCGAGTAAAGTCGTGTGGTTACTGAAGTGAAAGTTGATCGTTGTCGCATCAAAGTTCGCGGCCTTGAGCGGCTTCTGTTTGTGACAAGCTATGTTATCCGCCCAATCCTATAACCACTCTAAGTTAGCTATAGTTGCTGAAGGTCTTAAAAAGACAAGGTGTAGTTTGCTGAAAGTATTCGGATGTTAGATGACAGTTGACAGATGAAAGCTCTGCGATTTAAAGGCAAATAAAGACACATGTAGAAACACGGCATAGTATGTTGAAACTAGATGTATGGAGATCTATTTGGTCTCATACGTCCTCATCGTTGATTCTTTCAGTGCCCCAGGTCTAGCCGATGCCGGAGCCGAGGTTCAGTAGTCAAGCTGTATGCCTTTTATCAAAAACTATGGGTCATTGCAGTAGCGTAACCGAGCAGTGTAATGCTAGATTCACCCTCACTTCGGGCTAGAAAACTTCTTATAGACTCCTGTAAACACCCCTACATCGCAACGAGACAAAATCAAACAGTCTAAGCACATATCTACGCAGCAAAGGGAACGATGCTGACACCAACACCACCGCAACGTCTACAACCTTCGGCATCATATTCCACAATACTATTCCGAGATATCAGCATTTCTCATGATCCCGATTCGTCTTCCATTCCCACGCCAACTATACTAATCACAATCAACCGACCTACCCAGCATAACGCATTCACGGATCGGACTCGCCAGGACTTGGAGAAAGCATACACATTGATCGATATAGATCCCTGAATGAGATGTGTTGTAATTACCGGCGCGGGTAAGAGCTTTTTCTCTGGGTTCGGTCTGAATATTGGCTTTCCTAGAACAGCGAGTGGTGAGGAAAAGGTCGTCCAGCTAAAGGATGAACACATCACGGAGCACAGAGACTCGTAAGCAAACGGGCCCGCTTATTCAGGAAGATCAGAAGGGATGAAGACAGTAAGAAGCTAAACTAACCTTTCGATTCCGTTCTCTCTAGAGGTGGACGCGCAGTTCTAGCAATACATCAGTGCTCCAAGCCCACCATCGCGGCTATCAACAGCGCAGCCGTGGGCATAGGGATTATAATGTGTCTTCCAGCTGTTATACGCGTTGCTTATGAAAAGGCAAATATTGGATTCGTATCCAGCCGTCGTGGTCTTGTCATGGAAGCGTGTTCATCCTATTTTCTTCCATGCCTCATTAGCTTCTCTAGAGCCATGCTCCTGACAACAATCGGAGCAGTCTATCCCGCTAACTCACCACACTTTGGCTCTCTCTTCGCTGAAATTCTTCCAACACCTGAAGCAACGTTGGCCAGAACGCTCGAAATGGCTGATGATATCGCCAAAAACACCTCGACTGTCTCCAACAGGTTAATGCGAAATATGATGTATTGTGGTCCGGACAGCGCAGAGGCGTCTCATCTGCCTGATTCGAGAGTCATTTATAGCTTCTATGGTTCTAAAGATAATATAGAGGGAGTACAGAGCTTCTTCGAGAAGAGACCGGCACGGTTTACTGGTACACTTTCTGAAGATACTCCGGAAGGTTACCCCTGGTGGAATCCTGTTGATATTGGTCATAAATACCCCAGAGGAATCTTCGGATACGTCAAGGCTATAATATAATCTACATAATCATTACAAGTCTTGCTAATTTACGCCGTGCTTGGGTAATGAGAACTAATCTATACTGAGGATAAGGCTTAGCAACAGGGCAAACCCCCCGCTGAGCTTAAGTGATCTAAAATGGTGATGAGGGACATGAAAGGAACTTGTTTGATGAGTGAACAATGATTTGTTCCTTCGCGCATTGCAGGTGGAGGTTGGTTCGCAAATCATGTCAGCCTTTCGCAGCTGCGAAGCCGATCGGTATCCTTATCGTGCTCCAGCTCTATATCCAAGACTACTCCACCGGACTCATGTTCTAAAACATTAGCGATAAATCACTTCCTCCCTGAGCAATGGTCGTGGATCACTTGATAGCGGTGGGGGAGCCGGTAGGCTCAACCGCTTAGTCTCCACCTTTACCTCCCTCAGATCTGGTTCGCGTTCCAGTTCAGCTGCATCGTGGTATGTACCTACATGCTTGACTAGACTCTCCACAGTTCGACAAATCGCATCCACTTCCTGGCCTTTGCTACAAATTGTACACGCATACTCGCCATCTGGCGTATGGCACTGGACGACGAAGCGCTGTGCAAGACGGAACTCGCGGGTATCGAATACCTCGGATTCGTAGCCGGTGGTCTTGTCCCAGACGGTGATGGGTGTGCGTTTTCCGATCATCCAAAAGTCCTCGCTGGTGACGTCGAGTTGGAGGCCACAGGCAGGACATACACAACTGCCTCCTGGGGCGAAGCTGGCAGCCAACGGCTTGTTTTGCATGCGTTGGATATCAAGAGCATAAGGGCAAAAGAGCTGCTCAGGTCCATCTAGAACAGCGGAAGGGGCGCGTTGTGGAGGCGGGAGAGAGCGCAAGGGCGATGCAGATCGATGGGAGCCATTGCTGGCCTGGGAACCTCCCAAGCGCTGTTGAGCTTGCCGGAGGGCTTCGAGAGAATTTTCGCGAGCTTCGTTGGAGGCGTTGATTAATTTCGCCATGTCAGCGCGGGTAAGTTGGCGATCGCTATAGAGAGCGTCTTGAAGTACACTAATCACTGTCTGTTGAAGGGCTATGATTTGTGCTTGTAACTGGTTCTCGATGATTGCTGCATTGAGGTCAACATTGGGCCTATTGTCTTTGAGTGAGACACTTACGATCGCCTTGCGCGAACCGGCTGCCTATCCGACCGTAGCCTTGATCGTACATTCTCTGCACCATCATCATGTCTCTCTCAAAGTTGCTTCCTACATCATCTCGTCCTCGGCCGTTCCGGAGCCGATCAATCTCCTCCTGTCTTTTTTCTGCCTTTTGCTGGGCTTCCTCAAACTGCATCCTCAACTCCTTGATCTCGCCATCCTGTTTGTTGTCGCGCTGTTTCTGTCTGTGCTGAGCACGTCTATCTGCAATGCGCTCCCATAGACCTAGAGACGCGGTAAAGGTGCCGACGAGAGTGGAGGCCAATGTAGCTACAATAAAGGTTTTCTAGGCGTGTCAAGTCAGCTTCGACCGCGTGACTACGTGTCGCCAGCATGTACCTTGAGTTTCTTCTCTTCTATCCACGACGCGTAGTTCATTTTCGCGGCAGTTTCCCTTGGACCGTCCTGTTACTCGCACTTCACTCCCAAAATACAAATTGCAGGAAAAGAGACGACGAATTGCAGAATTGAAAAGTATATCAGCAGCGCACCCACTCAAACCCCGCAATGCTCCAGCTCTTTGTTTTTCTTCTGGCGCGTGTAATCACAGTTTTGGAGTAGCAAATGACATGGCGGGATGAAGCTGAAGAGGGCGGGATTAAAGCGATTGTTCTTGTCGCGCACAATGACGCACACTGTGGTACCGCTTAACTTGCGACTCAGCGAGTCGCATCCGAGCCCTAAGATTAGCCGTGCATTAGCATCGAGAGCAGCTGATTGCACGATACGCCGCGTAAGCATCAAGGCAAGCATAGCCGCAGCTGGCTGACCGCCCCTCTCGGGAGATGAATGCGCTGTGATGAGCCGGGCGAGCAAAGGGAGAGGAGAATGCACGATGACGTCATGCAGCCAACCCCGCTAGCTTCTTCCCAGACCATGGGCATCTCAGCCTCCGACTTGTCTGCTCTATCTAGCAACCAAGAATGCCATGCTTGGGCACCCTCACGCCGGACTAGCGGGAATGCCGCACAGTAGTCTTTGTAGATACTTTGGCGGCTGCTACACACGTGTCCCTCCCCCGCATTTACGCTATACCTAGTACCCATGGCTTCCACGCAAGACAAGGCCCAGCTGATCCAAGCCTTTAGACTGCGACTACTTTTTGGAGTGATTCGCCGTACAAATACATGAACATGGAAGACCTTGTACATGGCGCTCATTGTCTGTGCCCAACGAGACCGGGTAAGCTGACTGCAATCTTCCATGAGGGCTGGGGTGGCTAGTGTCGTTGTGCAACAACACTGTCGAGCAGATCCATTTGTATCATCATGTCATATCGTTGCACGATACTAAAAACCCAGACCTTTGGGCCCAAGACCCTTGATCATGTACCGAGAGTGGCGTCCAAGCCAATCAGTAGCCAGACGACTATCCTTGAAAACCGTACCCCCCACCTGGTGGGGAAAGCATCCGCTTCATCTAAGCGCTTGAGCCGATGGCAGCTCGTTCTAGTATCCTAGCAACTTGACCGTCACAACATTGACTGTTCTAACAGAAAATACACTGATGCATATTCGACTAATTCTGGAATATTCAGGCGCATGTTGGAGTTGAAGGCTACCTGGTCACGTGAGGTCTGCAATGTAACAATGGAAGGGAAGACTATCAAAGACAATGATCATTCATCCGCCTACCGAATCACATATTCTTAATCATCTTACTATACTGATATTACGTTACATTCTGATATTAAAGGACACAGTGTCTCATCACTCCCACGGCCATTTTCTCCTGCAATCCCTTAGTGCCTTGGTATGAGGCACAGAGATGGCAATTGCCCTCACGGCTGTCTCACATCAACCCTTAGTACATCGAACAACCGTTTCCATATCCCTTCGTACTGCTCGTCTCATAATTGGTCGTCATGTTTGCATCATGTTCCTCAAATGTGTCGACATAGAGCAACTACAAACCCCGTTTTCACAACGCTGTTGGGTTTGCCTGGCCTGCTCAAGCGAGCCATCAGCCTTTTTTGTTTCTCATTATACATACAGAAAACATGGATTTGTTTTACCCTACTCTATCCTCAAGACGCATTTGTTTGTTTCTTCTGATTGACACTCTCATGGCCGCGACCATCCTTGGTGAACCTGCACTACGCTCGTCACACGAATGTTGTCTGGAGGACACAACATGAAAACGTCGCTATTATCTTCAATTTCCCAACCCCTTTTTGCAGCTGCCGTATTTCCAAGGGGTGACATTATGATACTGTTAGACGGTCCATATCTCGGCGTTCTTGCTATGTTTGTACCAATGGTTTCGATGAACTTCTTGAAAATCGGTTTAAGTGCTGGTAGTGAAGCCGCGATGATACCCAGATGCAATTCAGTGAAGTTCCAGATTGAATACGCACCATACTCGTCAAGTGGACCGACACTAACTTGTCTAATGATTCCTGCGATTGCCGCAAGGATGCCGACAGAAAGGACTGCTACCAGCGTGAAGCGGGCGCGTCTGACCATCTGCAGTCTCCAAATAAGGGGAGTCGGCAGAAGAGCAAGCAATATGTCCGAGAGAATATGAATCACTACATCATCAGTAATGAGGCCAGAAAATGATGCACATGGTATCTTCATACCTCCGTTGAAGAGTCCAATCTTACGAAACGTGCCGAGGCTGTAACACTTTGCGTTGCCAACACCGAGTGGCGGTGGACGCAAAGAATAGTTCCATCCTGCTGAGATGGGAACACACTGGAGAATCTAAAATACCAGTCATGTTTAAGAAAAATATAGAGGGACGGTAGTATGCCATGCTATCGCACAATCGATAGAAGATTTTACTCACTATTGATAGTACACTGCCGATGGTGAATACGACTATGAATATGATGATACCCCAAAGGGCCCGGATGTACAGCTTCTTCATAACCAGACGAAGAAGGAACAGGCAAACTGATACTTTTACCAGGCCTAACGCCACTACCACAAACACCTGGTGCAAAAGGCGAGTCAGCAGCAACTTGTGGTAGTTTGACATATTGGCTTTTAGTATATCAACTCGGCTTCCTAGCCCAAGCGAAACCTCGGTCATGTAGGATAAGAAACACGCAGTTGTAGGTACCTGTGATTAATTCATCAACACGCCGATTTGAGGCAGGTCCCAACCTGCAATACGTACCAATGCGCTGATCATCACCCAGTCATCTCTACCAAAGGATTTGACGATTTTCAGGCGGACCCAGCAGCGCAACAAAGCAACCGACAATGCCACCACATACTGCGGTATCGAATAAGCAAGCAAACGCCTCGAGGACATTCTACTGTGAGGCGATGATGGACGGATGGGATTGTCACGTTCTGTGGCTCATACTACCAGCACTATTTATTTGTGCCGTTTCACCACCTCGAAATCATGTGCGGCACAGTCAAGAAGTGTTACGTACGTTTGGCTAGGAAGGCAAAGAACTTAACTTTTGTTTTGACGCGCTTGTATTCCGTAGCATCGGAACCGAAGCGAGTGGCAAGTTTCGAAGCGGCATGCTTGGAGACTACGCCGCATTACTAGGTGTCGGGAAAGGAGAGAATATCCGAGTACTTCTGCTCCTCTGGTTCTCGTTCTAAATCTCTGCGGGACTCTCATGGATGGCCTGACTGTGCCACATACTAGGAGCTGTTGTTATTGTCGGTTTGGCCACTTCGCCGTAATCATGTTCAAGGGTTCACGGCTGCAATTCACTCTGTCGATGGCTCCAGTTGAACGACATCTCATGCATACGATTCATGGGACGAGTTTTATTCTTCACGCCACGCAACCTTTTGTCTAAGAGCCGTTGAGGTTCGTATGCGCAAGACGCAATTTGACTAGACGTTGCAAGTGTTAAGCAAAGGATCCGGCAAGATGGCATGGTCTGAACTTGATAGAGTTAGCATGCTCGGTTACCCTTATTTATGCCGTCCCTTCCGTGCCGTCCCTCACCCGTTGACAGCCCTCCCCCCGGTAAGTGTGTAATCGCACTAGACCACTACATCCTTCTCGAGCCATGCACATGGGTCTCGGCAATCGTGTGGTTCGACCATTGATTAATCGCTCAACACTTGCATGTACCCTCGTGGCACAGTCGTAAAGATGAGGAAACTTCCTCCGGTTACCCCTTCTTATCACAACGTGGCTTTAGATTGCGAGAAATGTCGTCACCTGGTGAACTTGGAAAAGTCCAATGGTCTCGTGTATTATGTACTTCATACCACACGCAACACGCTTAGTACGTAAATTTTCTCTTATCGCAGCTTGCAACATTGCTACTCAAAGATTTTCTAGGCGTTACTCGCCCCCACTCGGCAAACAATATCGCCCCTGGTCTGCCACTGTGTATGCGGATCCAGACTTACAGAGCTAGCCTGATGCCACTGACTCTGGTTCGCCAAAATGGGCTGCATCCGGCCTAAGTATTTGCCTTCAAGCGATGAAGCTAGCCATGATCGGGTATTTTAGGCTGCTTGCCACCAGTTCTTTTTGTACTATATAAAGCTCAACGATAAGTAATTCGAACAGCATGCCCTTCGCCATAGCTCATTGTAGCACTCTGTTTCAGGATTTACAGTAGCGGACATGCCTGCCCATTGAGACGGACTCTACAATGAAGATCTCCACCTACCTTAGTGTTGCCTTGGCCGGCAGTACTACTAGCGCCAAGTTCATGGAGAACGATCGCCTTGCCGCTGAAGGCATGACGAAGCTGGAGATTCATTTAGCTAAGAATGGTATTCCAAGCCCTGGGACTTGCACACTAGACAAAGCGTCGGTTCGCAGAGAGTGGTGAGTCGGCACTATAGGTCAAGGCGTAACCTCACTAACATCAACGAAGGGCAACACTATCCCGCAAAGAGCGAATTGCCTTCACCGATGCTGTCAACTGTCTTCACAAGCTCCCTGCAAGGACACCAGCATCTGTCGCTCCCGGTGCAAAGAGCCGCTACGATGACCTAGTCGTCACCCACATCCAGCAGTCGCTCACGATCCACGGCACAGGCAACTTCCTAACGTGGCACCGCTACTTCACCTGGGTCTTTGAGCAAATGATCAGAAAAGAATGTGACTACAGGGGCACTTTCCCTTACTACAACTGGGCACACTACGCTTCTGACCCCAAAAGCGGCCCCTTCTTCGACGGCAGCGCCTCGAGCATGTCTGGCGACGGCAGCTACGTCCCCGGGCGCAACTATTCTTGTTTCCCGTGGGATGGCATAGCCGGGCCCTGCTACATGCACCTAGCCCCAGGCTCAGGCGGTGGATGTGTGACATCGGGTCCATTTAAAGAGTAAAGCAGTGCCCAACCTTTTTTATCCCACCGATTTTCAGTAGTAATGCCCGAGCTAACATAAACTTCGAAACATAGTTTCAAAATCAACATGGGCCCTCTACAAACGATGCTCCAGCTCCCAGGCGGCGGTCTGCCAAAGAACCCACAGCCCAATGGGCTAGGCTACAACCCGCGGTGTCTCAGCCGCGACATTTCGCTGCAAGCTGCGAATGCGACGACAGACGCTGAGGTCGTACGGCTACTCAAGAACTACACGGACATTGCGACGTTTCAGAGAGAGTACCAGGGCGCATTTGCCGAGGGCCGCATGGGCGTGCATACTGGTGGTCGTAAGTTTCTTTCTAGAACACTTCTCTCTCTCTCTCTCTCTCCACTTTCAAAGCTTCCCTCCCCCTTTTTTCCCTACTAACGGAAAAGTTTAGATTACACAATTGGCGGAGATGCAGGCTCGGATTTCTACAATAGTCCTGCTGATCCGGCGTTTTATCCTCACCACGCCATGATTGATCGCGTGTGGTGGACCTGGCAGAATCTCGATCTCAAGAACCGCGAAAGAGCGCTTGCTGGAAGTGCGGGTGGTATTGGGGATACGACGGCGAGGAATGCTACGCTGGGTGATGCCTTGTCGGTGGGTGAGTATGTGGGGTATCCGAACATTACGATTGGGGATGCGATGAGTACGGTTGGGGGGCCCTTTTGTTACATTTATGCTTAAAAAAGTTTGGCGTAACATGTCATGGCAGATTTTTTTTCCCCTCAAGACTAAGGAGGTTTCCTTTTTGAGATTCCAAACATGCCTTACGAAACAAACCTTTGCATCACGTGAACGCCCCCCCAGATTGTCTACCATATTCAAGCGGTAAGAAAGAAAGAAGAAAATTGGGACACAAAGAACAAAATCTACGCATATCCCCCTATCCATCTGCCACAACCCCCCGTTGGCACACTGTCGTAGGATACAACAAAGCAAAAGAAAGGGTATTCTTTTTACCCGCCCTTTTCTCGTGACCGGGTAAGCATAGTAATGGGCAAAAGAGTGCGGGGAAAGAAGATATATTAGTGCTAGAATATGGTGTGTGATGGGGGGAAAAAGAAATGGAAGAAGGGGATGAAAAGGTAGAGTGGCTTTATTTTGTTCCGGCTCACGGGAGAGAGAAAGAGAGAGGAAGGAAGCGAAGTTGCGGATGGTTACTTGTTTCTTTCTTTTTTTTTGTCCGGCTCGCGAAAGAAGAAGTGTGGATGTAACGGACGCGGTACATTTTTTGTGGGGCGGTAAAGATGGAGAGTTGAACCAAACGATACATGAATAGTCATCGGGTATGTAATGTATGGCTCTGCCTATCTCTCTTTCCGCGGAGGAGCTACTTGGGTAGCTAAAAAGAGTGAGGGGGGGCATGTAAAGCCTCGATACGACTGACTTGATTATCTAAACATGTGGCATGCACAACATGATCACGCATAGCAAAGCGAGAGAGAGAGAGAGAGAGAGAGAGAGAGAGAGACCAATAGGTTTTGAGGAGAACAAGAGCAAGAACAACTTGTATTCTCGTCAATGATAAACTAGCAGATTGTTGCTGTACCTGTCGGCTGTTGCTTAGCTTTACAGGTACCACAAAACCATTCCAGGTCCACCATCGACGTGTCAACTCGGCTATGGAAAGAATAAGGGAAACAGGAAAAAACAACGACGTGAAAAAAAACAAAGCATTCAAAAACGCTACGTAGCTCATCCATTTTTCCATTGGGCCATCCATCATCAACCGTCATGAAAGCGTCATAGCTTCCTTCTCCCCCCCTCGCCATTCCTTCACTGCCAACGCATAGGTTCAGCTTTTTTACTTTTTCTTCAAACTTCTTCTTCGTCTTTTTCAAGCAGCCAAAGGAAAAAAGAACAACCTTTCCGACACATGTGCCACGTAGATCCAGCCACACAACAACAGACATGAGAGGAAAAGGGTATTACATCCACCAGCAAAACAACAAAGAAAAAACAAGGAAGAAAAAAGAAGTGAAAAAAAATATAGAAGCTTGAATAACCTCCGCGGGGAGCAGGTATAGTGCGAAGCTGGAAGAGGAGAAAATTATCAAAGGGGATTTTTGCGCGTGCCGTTAAACATTCCAGAACAAAAACAGATAGAGATAGAGGAAGAAAGGGGAAGGGAAAATAAAAACAAAAGTTACGAACGCTACCAAAATAGCAAGGTAGAAAAAGCATGAGGAAACAAGCACACGGCTGAATAAGAGGTCGCATTCCTGTAATGGTGCGACGCTTTTCTCGCGGGCCATGTCATGGGTGTTTGTTGCGTGAGCGTTCCAATCTACAACCAATATTACTGTTTGTGAACAAATACTGAGTCGTTGGGTGGGGGGAACGCAAGCCAAAAACACTTCAAACATGAAACGCGAGTTGGGGAATCAAAACCAGTCTTGAGAACGCGACCAAAGCCAACCGATTAGAACTTTTTTGCTGATGAACAAGTTTGGCCTTGTGGACAGCCAGCCAAGTCCATGCAAAGCTTTTGTTTCAACCTGTTTCCGACCCGCTAAAAGAAAGGATAACGAAACAGAGACTTTTGAATATGATGGAGGGAAAAGCAAAACAAAAAGGGCACGTAGCCAATTCGTCGTGGGTACAGATGCTGAAGAATTGCCAAAAGTGGTCGTGTGCATCGTAGCAGCAAGGCAGACTGCTCAAGGTTCGGAGAAGCCTATTCGCCGTAGTAGGAGCTGGTGTGGGCGCGTTGACGCAAAGGTCGCTGGCCACTGCTCCGTTCTATGCGTTGCTCTCGTATTACTTGGCTGTCACGCCTCCTGCGGGAGCTGCGTAAACTATTTTCGGTCATTTCTTCAGCCTGTCTCCGCGGCTGCTTTGGCACCAATGCCTTTCGGTCGTCTGCATTGCTACCTCTGTCGCTGTTGTGGTAGACACTTTCACGGTCGCGCCCTCCGCTGATGACCAGATCAGCCATGCCGTTCTCGGCCGGGATCATGCGCAGAGTGCGACCCTCCATGTCACCATTGAACTGCAAGCTGAGTGGAGCGTTTGCATCGACTCGCAGACGAATCTCGTTGTTTTCGTTGGTGACGGCCGTGCGGTTGCTTCGGCTTCTCTCACTTCCCGAAGAGCCAGAGTGAGAGGGCATGGAAATGGTTCTCGAGTGGCGTGCAGCATTGTGAATAGGATCATTCAGGGGCCCGGGAGCACCGCGGCGAGCACTAATGTACTCTTCGGCCGCACTCTCGATGCGCTTGGTCTTGTGCTCGAGGACACGCTCCTTGCCTTTGCCCGCGTCAGTTGGACGGCGGCGGCGGGCCTGAGGAGGAGGTGGTGCCGGTGCCTCGGGCGGAAGTTGATCGTCTTCAGACTCTTCTGATTCAGACTCTTCATCGCTGTCAAACGCTGCTGGGGGTTGGTAGTATTGTTTGGAGGTGCGGTTGAGACGCTTCTGCTGAGCAAGCTCGGCTTCGTACTGCTCTTGCTCTCTTCGGGCCTCTTCTTCTTCGCGGGCGCGGGCTCTGGCTTCCTTGGCGGCTTTGGCTGCCCGTCTGTCCTCGGGATAATGGTCGTATACCTGTTCATAGACCTGGGCCGAACGACGCCGTTCAGATTTGCTCGAGTTGGCGACGACAATCTGGCCACGGTGGCCGGGGTATTCGGACTGTATCTGGCGGGAGGGAGGAGCTGGTCGACTGACGGAGGCACGGCGGGAAGGCTCTTCAATGGTCCTTGAAGTACGCTTCCTGCGACGCTCATCAATGACTAGAGACTGCGGCTGAGCTGGAGGCTGAGACACAGACATGCGGCGACTAGGACGTTCGTCCACCACTTGGGTCGTGTTGGCGTGACGCATGGGGGGTCGCTGTTGCTTTTTGCTTTTTGCTTTTGGCTTTGCTTGCTCAATCTTTGGTGGTTGCGGTGCCATGAGAGCACGTCGGTTGCGAGGGTCATTGGGATCGGGTTGCTCATAGTACTCGTCGTCGTCTTCCTCGGATGAGCCGGTCTCGGATCCACTGTCGCTTTCATAGGCGCCCTCTTGGAGCTGCAATTGGGGTGGAAACCTGGCTTGGGTGGCACTCTGGGGCTGGCCGTACCTTGCCGAGTACTGTTGTTCACGCGATGGGGCCTGGGTGATAAGAGGGGCAGGTCCATTGCGTGCAGAGTTGAATGAGGCCCGAGGCGGCATGCCTGGCCTTTGTGGACCATCGTATGGCGGAGGCGTGTGGTTGTAAGAATAGGGCGCTGGGTAGGCCTGAGGCGCACCATAGGGGACTACAGGAGGGGCCATGCCACCCATCTGGTACTGTGGCATTTGGCGCCATTGCGCAGAGGTCGAGGGGGGCGGGCCGTGCTCCTGGGGCGGGCTCGGGTAGGGTGCGGGCATGCCCGGGGTGTGGTATTGGTAGTTGTGCTCACCGTTGTAGCTCATTGGGCGCGGACGTGAAGTTGAAGGGCGGCGACGGGGGTTCACGGCAGGCTGGACAATGGCAGCCTCTTGCCTATAGGTGGGGGGCCGGCGGAGCTGAGTAGGTGAAGGGGGTGACTGGTAATACGAGGCTGGATCGGAACGCATGGAGCGGGTGTCAGCAGAGAGACGGTCGATGTCGCGGGCGGACTGGGTGGGCTTGATGCCGGGCCTGACGAGGTGCTGAGGAAGGGCGTTTGGTCCGCAGGTGGTGCACTTGGGATCAGTGCATTCAGATTCGACTCTGCTGTCGCGACGGGCGAGGCGTTCACGTTCGGTGCGTTCGGGGCGCGGGTCCTGGGTGATTGTGGGCCGGCGTTGCTTGACGAGGGGCTTGGACGACTGGGATGCGGTGCGCGAGGGCAGCTTGGGTCTCGACTGTTCCGAGTGGGACTGGGTAGGCCGTCTGGTCTTTGTCGAGGGCGGCGGGGGTGGTTGTTGCTGAGGTTGGGGTGGTGGTGGTTGTGGTGCCTCTGGACGGGCGGTAGGGGGGGCGGCAGCAGGAGGGCTGCGCTGGGACGGGGCACTTTGAGCAGAATTAGTGCTGCTCACGGTGGCGGCGGTGTAGCTGCTGTACCCTGAGTCGGAGCGAAGATCGAGGTTGGTAGGCACGCGCTCCTGAGGGGGCGGCTTTTCTTTATTCAAGTCGTCGGGGTGGGAGCGCTTGGTGGAGACGTTTGCAGCATTGGCCGAGGAGCGGCCCTGGAACTCGTAGCCTTGTTCGCTCTGGTCGGAATCATAGTCTTCGCAGGTAGCCTGCAGATCCTGTGCGCTTGCCATGTCGGCAGCGGCGGCGGCAGGGGGAGCAGATTGCAAAAGTTGGTGGTGAGAATTGGGAGCAGGGCGGACAGGCTGTCGAGGGCAGGGAGCAGTCGGCAAAAATATCTAGCGGCGGGGCGGTGGTGGGCAATCAAACGAGACGTGGAGAGCGCATTGTCAGCAGGGGTGTGTGATTGAGCGAGGCCGTGTCGGGGCCAGCGGGCGACATGTGGAGAGGGGAGTGAGGGTGGAAGGGTGGATGTGAGGGAGAGGAGAGAGGTGGATGGACAGCGGCAGAGATGCAGAGGGTAGGGAGGAGTTGGCAGGCAAGGCGAGAGAAAAAAGGGAAAACAAAGACGGGGCAGGGGAGTGGAGGTGGGCGGGGGGGCTGAGGATATGCGAGACAAGCAAGCTGCAGCCAGAGTATGACGGGCTCGGTGCTGGTGTGCAGGGCGACGGGCGGCGACGGGCGCAGTGGCAGAGGCAGAGGGCGCGAGTGACTGAGTGAGTGACAGGCAGGCATGCAGGCGCGCATCGCATTCGGGCTTCGACACACACCCACACCCACACACACACACCCGCAGCAAGCAGCAGGCAAGGAAACCTTTCCCCGCCCGCCCGCCGTAAAATTTCAAAACGGCGCGTACTATATTCTGCCCTATGCCATGCGCTGCATCGGTTGGGCTCTCCCACATCTTGGGTCCATGGCGGCCGCGGTGGCGACGCTGCTGCACACCAGTCGTCCTGATTGATGCGTTGCATGCATAGCGGTGCTTGTCCACTCGACGCCATCGACGCCCGCCCGCTCAATGCGCTGCGCTGTGCGGGACTGCATCTCGTAGACATGCTGGCCTCGACGGCAAGCACGACGACTCGATGGTTGTGGACGGGGCGGCCATGGCGGTGCTCCCTGGCGGTGATCACTGGCACCGTCGTCGTCGTCGGCCGCCTCAGATGCGCAACATGCAGCAGCTCGAGCGGGCGTCGACGGCCAGCTGAAACCGGCATTGCCCGGCCCTGGCTGGCTTGGTTGGCCTGGGCTGGCCCTGCGAGCCGTTCGCTGCTGAGACTGGCTGGTGCATGCGCCCATCTTTCACCGCTTTGCACCCCTCGCCGCGCTCAACCACGCCCGCCACGCTCAACCACACGCTGCCCGCGTCCATCAACCACCTCGCCGCCGCCTGCTGATCTCCTCTCGTCCCGTCCTCGGCCTGGCCGCCGTTTCCTAGCCGCTCCTCATCCCTCCAGCTGCATCTACCGTCCACCGTCTATCGTCGTCGAGTCTGCTGCGGTGAACGGGCGCAGGGCACACACGCCTAGCTGCATGCCGCTCTCTTTTTTTCTTCCTTTTTTTCCTTCCTTTTCGTCATCCTTGCACCCGCCATTTCACGTCATTGAGCCTCTCTGCTGATTGCCGGCTAGCCTCTTTTCTCCTGGCTCGGCCACGTCAATCGTCTCTGCCATGCAGGAACAACAAAGCACTCATGGTGCGCCGTGGCCTTCATTAATCCCCTCAACGACCCGACCCGAAACATGTGTCCTCTGCTCTGGCCGTCTCGACCTCTCCGTGTCCGGTGTCGAGTCTGCCTGGCTGCCAACTCGGATGCTCCTGCCTCGTGTCCGCCCGCAAGCCTGCCCGCGCCCGTCTATTCATCACGCGGCTGCTCAAGCGTCGCTTACTCCGCCTAGCCGACACCATTGCACTACCCCACCACGCTTCCGGTGAACAGACGCACCACCGCATCGACTCCCTCTACTCTGCTCCTGCCCTGCCTACTGCTGTCCTACTCTGCCCCCCCAAGCAACTTGGTTCCCACCCAAGAACTCCGCTACAGCTTCCAGAATACTTCCCCCTCGCGTCGCCGTTGACGCACCTGTGTGACACTTGGCAGTCTGAAGTAGCGCACTCGCTCCCACACCACCGCCTACTGACTTTGCAGGCCGGGTCCAAGTGCCATGTCCACCCGTTTGTTCAATCTACACGACTAGCTGCATTTAGTGTACCATGACCCTGCTACCCAACAGATTTTCAACCAACCGTCGCACACAGCCCACTTTGGTCGTATTGGCCTCGGTCGTGTCAGAGTGTGCACCACTGAGCTGGACGCTGGCAGGCCGCCTCACCATTCACGTCCGATGATGCGACGCCTTGTGCCACGAGCAAAACAATGCCATTGACGTATGCTCCATAGATTAACCAAAAAAAAATCGTCATGTGTATACACACTGCACCCCCTCTGTCTTGTTGCTAGTGTCAGTGTCAGTGTCAGATGCACGTCGGCCGCCGTCCTGCCACTCTACTGTACTACCTTGACAGCCAACGTCATGTGCCTCTGCATGACGAACAGACGGCTTCTCAAACCGCGTTCGCAGTCGTCTGCACACCCGACTCGCTCCAATCCCAGCAACCCGGGTGCCAGGTTCTCCCAAACAGCCACTACGGCGCGAAACGGTTCATGTTGCTGCGCGACACTTTTGTCGCAATCCATTTTCGTTGCAACCCGTTCGAGTGCGTGCTTGCCAGCCAGGTTCCCGGCCGTTGGACTAGCGCGGGATGGGTGGAGGAACACGTGGGACGCTCGCTAGTAGTCGAGGACTTAGTCACTCCCGCTACACCACGGATCCCTCCATCGCCTCGTAGCCCAAAGAAAAAAAAACAGTCGCTCCCGAAAAAAATTTCACCCGCTTTCGTTTCACCGCACTATGCAGGTTCAGCACGCCTGGCTGCCATTCCTCTCTATCCCTGTGCGGCCCGCCAAGATGTGACTCACATTTCCATCCACCAGCTGCCCTCTGTTGTCTCAGTATCGGCATCCCTCGCTGCCCAAAACCATCCCCATTGGGCCGCGGCTCCACAAACTTGCGGCTCATGGCTGCCCTACCGACCCACCTTGTGGCCTTGTCCGCTATACACTTGCGGCTCGGGATGCCCAAGCAAGCCCCACCTGGGCGCCTATTGAGCCCGACATCTCTACACTTACCGTTTTTATTCATTTTTTTTCTGCCTTACCTCACCTACTTCCACCTGCCACGCGACACAGCGGCAGAAGAAAAATGACCGACCCTCTCGCTCGGCCTTATCTCCTCCACCATGGTTATCTGCAAGTGACGATACAGAGCTCCGTGTCTCGGCCCATGTCGCAACAACTTCTTGGGGCTCCCTAGTCCATGGTCAAGTGTGGTCAAAGGTCGCATGACCTGCACGCTGTCATTGACTCATTGTTGCTCAATCCACCCAGTGCGACTTGGCTACATACTCTTGAACCCGAATCGGGCTCTGTACATGGTAGTATCACTATTACCACTCCATGGGGACTACACTAGTGGCGTTGTTTGCCAGAGCCGCCACGCGGCAGCCGCAACCTTGCCTTGGAGTCATGGTATACACATGTACACTACTTACACCTGTCATCCAGTTGGCCGCTCGGCCCTGTCACCCACCCGAGATACACTAGTACTGTCTCTCTCGCTAAGCCTTTTCTTTTTAAGCCCTGGAGCGGGAAGATTCGCACTAGCACAAAGGGCTTGCACGTGTTGAGAAGAGCAGAGAGTGATTCTTTGCATCTTCCAAAATGGGCAAGCTGCACATCTTGGCAGTCTAATATATCACTTCTCAGTCGTGTCTTTTGCTCTTTTTACTATTTCCTTTCTCGTCCTTACTAAGCATACAGGCATGACTAATCGGCCTTGATGTAGTCTCTTTCCTATCCAGATTGTTACCAAGGGCAAGCCGAACTGTCATCATCATTCCCACATCTACTGATAATATAAATAACGGAATAATGCCACACAAAAAAAACAAGAACAATCCTTTGCTTGGCACGACACAAAAGAGCACAGAGAGTCCTCAAGTCGTACCCGGACTACGCAATTCACCACGAACATGCCCAAAACGATAGAATCACAATATTACGATGATAGAAACAAATAAAAACGACTGCCAATAGAACAGGAAATGTCACTTCTCGCGAACAACTGTGTGACAGACGTACATATTGAAGGGCGATCTACAGAAGCCAGGGGATTGAACATACAAGCAATGCAGACAACGACAATACCGAGACGAGCATAGATCCACGCAAGCTGATCTAGCTTTTACTCGAAAACTCACGAGATTCAGCTACAGAGGCTGCAGCTTGGCTGCATAGTGTGTACTTGTACCGATTTTGTGTTGGGCTATACCATGTCTAGAAGGCAGATGCAGAAGATACTTGAAACCTCCAGCACTTGTCCATGGCACATTCAAACAAGCTTCTTTACAACTAACCCTTCAAGGATCCCAGCCGCAAAAACAAAAAACAAAAACGGGAAAAAGTAAACGCAGAATATCAATGCTCTAGGCATTTTCGCTGAAGATGAGGCTACGTACAGAAACACTCGGATTTTCAACAATTTTACAAGGGGGAAGAGATTTGCACTCTTTAATAAAAAGGATTTTTATGGGCAACAGCCGAACGACGGGGTCCAAGGCCAAGAGTACGTCAGTGACTGCTGAATGCAAGTTACTCTAGTCTTAATGCATTCCTCACCGTTCAGCAAGCATCTCAATCAAATTGGTGGGCTTTGACCCTCTACCATTGGATGACGCTAACGATGTATATCCCACACTGGTATAGACTTTACAGAACTGTGGCTGGCGCAAAGCATGGGACGTTTTTGCAAACTACGGCGCGGGCCGTCTTCACCGCCAACTCGCATCGCCTTGGCCCGTCTTCATCTGCATTTCCAGTCCTTTGATTCGATTTACAGTGATAATATGGTGCATTTTTCTTTCGTTTTTCAATGCAAGTTCAGGATGAGGTCCGCAAATGCATCTGGATTCGACTTGGTCTCTGCATTTGATGGAGATAGAGCCTTTCGCTCACCGATGACAGCGTACATTGAGAATTTATTTAAAGGGATGCCCGATGCCTCAATGTACGCAACAAAGACATCTCCCATAGTCCATCTATTTCATACTCCCAAACACACATTCGCCATGGAAGCGCAGCAAAGCATTGACCTTGGTTAGCTCCATGTCGTCTCCAGTCCTGATGACGCTAATCTCTGACTAGCATCCTTCAATTCCAAGGATCACAATGATTTCCTCTGGCCAATCAACTACAGTTACGATCATATGCCAAAAGACCAACCACCCTTGCCGTCTCTGATTGACGTTTCGTCTTTTCCTGATCTCGAAGCCGAAAGCATCAATGTCAAGTCCGTCATCGACATGCTTACTACTCAGACTGAATATTCGATCCCAAACAATGACAAGCTCAACGCCAATAGCATTCCGATATTTCCTGTCAATGCAAGACTTCCTTGGCATTCTTCAATCCGCCATCTAAGACAGAGCATGCATTGGCAAACGGCTGTAGACGCAATAAAAGCCTTGCTACAACACTTTGCTTCCGACCCAACCGCCACAACAACAATGAAGGAGGGTGGAAGATCCTTCGCAGCTGTTGCCGCTAAGGAGCTGCCAATGATAGAGGACAACTGGGCTCGCTTCAGTGCTTACCTGTGGCCAGCTGCAAGCGGGGACCGGCTCAAAATCATTGCGGAGACCCTTGTCTATATCTTCATTTTCGATGGTAAGCTAAACCCATGACAGAAGTTTCACTACTCTAATCGCTTTTCCTGCAGACGTATGGGAGATGAATGGCGAAGACAAGGCACGTGATACCAAGACCATAGGTCTCCCAACCTTCCTCTCCAATATCTGACAACTGAATGACAGATCCCTACAATTCAAAAAGAGTTCGTATCGAACCTCGAAGCACGCGCTCACTTCCCAGACGACGAATCAGCATCGGATCTGCAAAAGGCCATGAACGCCACTATCCAAGGCCTGTACGACGAAGATAGCATTGCCGGCAACGGCGGCGTAGACGTAGCGATCCATCTTATAAATTTCATAAACCACCCTCCTCCACCGGCTACCTTTGCCAGTCTCCGCGAATTCCTCGATTATAGAGTCATCGACGCTGCTGCCTTGTGAGTATTCACTAATCCTCCACGAATTGCACATGGAAAAGGCTAAGCGCTGCCCCCTTAGATACATTGTCGCATGTGCAAAGTTCTCTCTCTGCTCCACCGTCGACCTTGACAGCCCGCGTATCGCAAAGTTCATCCGGCTGCTATGCGATCACGCATCGATTGTCAACGACCTGGGCTCGTTTGACAAGGAGAAGTACGCCTACGTACATGGTAAGGTGTGCTACATGGTCAATACCGTCAACGAAGTGCGCAAGACGTATGCCCTGGACAGCGACGAGGCAGCAAAGTTTGTCACGTTGGCCCTCCAGATGGAAGTGGAGCAGGAAATGGTGCGTGAGCTGGCCCGCCTGAATACCGATGCGAGTGTTACAGAGGCAGAGCGCGAATTTGTGGATGCTTTGATGCTTTCGGCCACGGGCAGCATCATCACGTCGGTGGTTATGTCGAGGTATGGGGGCAAGGAGTATGCCATTGTAGCGCCGTAAAGTAGTTAGTTTTTTGTTTTGTTTTGAACCATGTCAAACCTTTCAAACTATGTTATCACCGGATATAACAATACATGAGTATACACAGGTTGCCACACCTAAAAGAAACCCCCATCTTCTTCTTCAAACAAAGTCCTTGTCATCTTCCCCCCCAACCTTTTCAGAAGACAGGAATATCCACAATGTAAACCCCCGCTTTCCACCAACCCAAATACTCTCCATCTTCTCCACAACTTGGGGGGGATGTGAGCAAAGCTCGCGTGTTCACGTCGAGGTATGGGTTAGTTCACAACATATAAATCCCCGTCAGCATTCAATGCATTCCAATGCTTTATAAACCCTCAGGCAACCAATGGTGTCGAACTATCCCCTGGTTTCCAGCAACTGAACCAGGGATAACAGAACACCTCTTCTACTTTCTCTTTTGTAATTTGTTTCGCTGATGTCGAGCTCGGGCATTCACCATTGGGAATTGATAACCTCTCTAGCTTGCCAAATACTCCTTCATATACAACACAGATGGATCATGACCCCGATGATTTTCGTTTCGTAACATGCTGTGGCACAAGAATGCTCAGAAATTTAGAAGGATCGTCTTGCTTTGAAAATCCATCGGTATCGCTGTAGGATACAGGAGTAGCGGGGGGGAATATCGATTGGCTTTTACTCCTCCACCTCGGCTAGTTGAGAGAAGCTCATGGACGTATTCCCTAGGCAACATCTTCTGATCTCAGATTGTGAAATTTCATTGCATATCATGTGGTTGGGGAAGATACATCTCGTGGATGTTTTCAAGCTACGTGGGGCAGGAGTGGCACTGCGTAACGTAGCACCTGCTTCATCGAGGAAAAACCCCGCATTATCTACGTAGGGCGCACGGCTAGTATAGGTATACTCTAGTTCCACTTCAAACATCAAACTTCCTGATAAACTTCCTTCCCGTTGTCTCCAGACTCTTTTTTTTTTCCTTCTGTGCTACCAATCTTTTCACAATGACTTTTGACATTTCCAAAGCGCGGTCGCGCTTCCCGGCTCTTCAGCAAGACCAAGTTTTTCTTGATAACGCGGGGGGCAGTCAGACGCTGGACCAAGTGATTGACTCGTGAGTATACCGCATATCTAGAAACAGCACGTTTAACTAAGTTCTATGAAAGCATATCACAGTATCTCAGCAAGACGAATGTGCAGCTTGGTGCTTCATACCACACCGGCACACAGTCCAACACAAAGTACGAGGAAGGCTACCAGGCTGCTGCAAAGTACGTCAATGCAGGCCGCGATGAAATAGGTAACACCTTTGGGGTCTTGTGCGCATTCTTTGTCTAACTGTCAAAAGTCCTCGGCTCATCTACCACTCAATTGTTTGTCAATCTTGGCTCTACGCTACAGTTCCCCGCGGGATCGGAAATCATTCTATCAAAGATGGAGCATGAGACTAACGTAAAGGCGTGGCTTCTCATGGCCGAACGTCTTGGGCTTACTGTGAAGTGGTGGGCGTCTAGCAAAGAAGATGGACTCAAGCTCACAGCAGAGAACCTGAAGCCACTCCTGAGCGACAAAGTCAAGTTTGTTGCTTGCACACATGTCAGCAACATTTTGGGTACGATACATGACGTCAAGTCGATTGCAGATGCAGTACATGAAGTCGGTGCTTTGTTCTGCGTGGATGGCGTAAGTTATGCGCCCCACCGTGCGGTTGACGTGAAGGCTTTTGGGGTAGACTTTTATGCATTCAGCTGGTACAAGGTATGTCAGGGTCATCATTCCTTCTTCAACTTTTTTGCCTCACCGGCATGTGCTGATGAGAGCCTCAGGTCTATGGCCCTCACATCGCCGTACTTTACGCTAGCGAATCGGGACAAAAGGCCATGAAACCCATGGCACACTACTTCAATCCCACAAAGACGCTTGAGGACAAGATTGGGTTTGCTGGTTCAAACTACGAATGTGTTCAGTCCATTCCACAAATCACGTCGTACCTTTCTGGTGCCTTCCCTGCCATTACAGAACACGAGGGAAAACTGCAAACCATCCTCCTCGACTTTCTCAATTCGCGCCCTGATATCACGGTTCTGGGCTCAACGTCGACGGACAGTAAAGTCAGGGTTCCGACTATTTCGTTTGTAGTCAAAGGCATGAACAGTAAGCAAGTTGTGGCTGAAGCCGAAAAAATCAGCAACTACGGCTTTCGATGGGGACACTTTTATTCGAAGAGATTGTGCGATGAAATCCTCGAGATAGACCCTGATGGCTATGTTACGAGAGTCAGTATGGTACATTACAATACGGAGGAAGAGATCAAAGGACTGGTCGAGGTTTTGAAGAAGGTTCTTCCAAAGGTTTGAGGATGCCGTGGAACCATGAATGTTACGCGTGTCTGTCACTCGGGTACAAGCGCAACTGAACATTGGGCCGATGCTGTCCTGGGATTCCAAGCCGTGTTTCGTTTCAGCCACGTTAAGGTGATTTGCCGGGCTTCTAGACGAGTCTAGTTGATAGTGTTATAGCGAGATTACGCCGCGACTTTAAGCCTCCACTGCATTTGCCGTCCGAGCCGTTTCCAGGGTCCAGTAGAGAGTTGCAACATGCTGGAATCGGACATGACTGAATACTAGATCCTGCATCCATCGCTTCATGCTTTGTCCTTCTCTTTGGATTTCGAGTCCGGATAAATCCTCGTACCAACCGCCCTAACAAGCCCAAATGTCTTAACGCTAACTAGAGAAATATAGTTAGAACAGAAAACGGTCCCAATGATTAACGTGTTCTGAAACAGCTGACAGTGCTTACTAGCGTGAGAATAAGCATCTGCTCAAGCACGTTACTAATACTAGGGTTCGACATCAGACAACATGTCAGCCCCAACACTGACAAGTCCATCTGCTGCCTCTTTTACACATGCATGCATCCTGCTAGGACCCCGCCATGTGGGCATGTTGCGCCTGTACCACTTGATTAAGCTTTCTTTATTACTTGGCATCAACTGCTTCATTTGCATGACGGACCATGCAAACCATTCGCAAAACACCTTGCGCACGTTCACGAAGATGGGCCCAGCTACTATGCATAAACCCCAAATGAAACTGAAACAGAGTAATCCCCCAACGAGGAAGAGAGAAAATAAAAGGCGCAAGCAAATTCTTGCGATAAGCCACAATCATCTATTTTCTTTTTCTTTCTCTTTGCGCACAGCGTGAGCGCGCACCAAAAAAAAGTGTATCCGGAGCTAGAGAGATGTCATGAAACATTGAAATTGCGCAGTCGACCAAGGCCAAGGCCCGTAATTGGCGACAGACGTCCGAGCGGCCAAGCTTATTTCCATTGCTCTCGACTCCTTGTTTCAACCCCGCATGACAAGGCGGCGGCGGCGGCGAGCGAACAAGCACAAGCGACGGCCCACGGATCTTTTCTAGTAACCAAATCTATCTGATCTGCATAGCGCCCCTCCCCCTTCCCCTCCTTCCAACGGAATTGATGATCTGACGATGATGCGGGTCCCTCTTACCATAGCCGGCGGTAATGAAAAGCAAATTGGTGCTTTTCCCGTCGCGCTACGGAAGAATTCAGGGCCGCACCGCACCAATACCGAGCCTGCGCAGACTCGAGCATTGAACCCCATACGTGGAGACAAGCCCTGGCGCCCCGTGCTTTCTTTTAATTCTTTGATTTCGGGAGTTTGGGATCGGGTGGTAGTGCGTGCGTCCGGCACCGATTACATAGTGCTACTTCAGCACTAAATATGCTGCTCATGTGGAGAAATTTGGAGCAAGGGAAACGGGGGTCCTGGACTTTGTACTTGATAAAGCTGGCGCCAGGTCCCGTTTGATGTCATTTGCTTCTTCGACATCAGGCGAAGTGGATTGCCTTTTTTTCCCCTCTCGATTCCCCCCATAGACACCATGCGCGTTTCTACTGTTTCTTCGTTGTCGTTGCTCTTGGCGGGCTTGTCGGTTGCGGGCCCGGTGTCGGACAAGCGTGGGCTGTCGAGCCGCGCGACGACGTTTAACAACCCTGTTATATACCAAGATTATCCTGATCTTGATGTTTTCAGAGTCGGGGATGTGTTCTATTACTCATCATCGACCTTTGCGTTCAGTCCAGGAGCTCCCGTAGGCATTGAGTTGTAGAAAGTTTTGAATCATGTCGTTAACTTTTATGCAGGTGCTCAAGTCGTACGACCTGGTGAACTGGACGCCCGTCACTCACAGCGTACCAAAATTGAACTTTGGCTCTCCATATGACCTGCCAAACCCAACTACTCGGTCCTACGTCAAGGGTATCTGGGCGAGTTCGCTGCGGTACCGCAAGTCGAGCGACAAGTTCATTTGGATGGGCTGCGTTCAATCGACAGGCCAGACATATATCTGGACTGCCCCCGGTCAGAACGCCGCTGCCAACAACGGCGAGGTATCGAGCTGGAACTGGACCGCCGCAGGTACCATTCCCAAGTGCTACTACGACAACGGCATCTTCATCGATGACGACGACACCATGTACGTCGCGTACGGCAACCCTGCCGTTCGAGTTGCCCAACTCAACAAAGACGGCACCGCCGAAGTAAAGAACCAAGAGGTGTACCGCGATCCCAATGGCCTTACTCTCGAGGGCTCTCGCATGTACAAGATCAACGGCACGTACTACATTTTCTCCACCAAGCCCGCCGACGAAGAATGGGTCCTGAAATCCAAGAGCCCCTGGGGTCCCTACGAAGCCCGCCTCCTCGTCGACAGCATCTCCGGCCCCCTTTCCAACGCCGGCCACGCCCACCAAGGCGGTGTCGTCGACACCAAAGACGGAAAATGGTACTACGTCGCCTTCCTCGACTCGTACCCCGCGGGCCGCATCCCCGTCGTCGCTCCCCTTACCTTCGACAGCAACGGCTGGCCTTCAGTGGTCAAGGTTAACAACGCCTGGGGCGCCTCGTACCCGAGCCCTGTGACCACCAGCAAGACGGTCCCCCCACTCACCGGCACCGACAGTTTCACCGGTTCCTCTCTAAGCGCAGACTGGGAATGGAACCACAACCCCGACACCACCAAGTTCAGCCTGCTCGGCGGCGCGGGCGGTCTCAAGCTCTCCACCGCAACCGTCACAAACGACCTCTACGGCGCCCGCAACACCCTCACCCACCGCATCATCGGCCCCAAGTCCTCCGGCACCTTCCGCCTCGACATCAGCAAGATGGCCAGCGGCGACCGCGCGGGTGCTGTCCTCTTCCGCGACACAGCCGCCTACATCGGCATCCACAAGAGCGGCTCCACAGCCTCCCTCGTCATGGTCAACGGCCTCGCACTTAACTCCGACGGCTCCACCCAATCCACCGGCAGCGTCGTCGCCACGGGCCCAGCCATTCCTGCTGGTTCCACCGACTTGTACCTCAGGATCCAGGCCGATATCACACCCGCCTTTGGAACAAACACCCAGCGCCAGGCCACGTTTTGGTATAGTACCGACGGCACGTCGTACAAGCAGCTCGGACCCTCGTTTGGCCTCGCCAATACCTGGCAGTTTTTCACCGGTTACAGGTATGGTGTGTTTAACTTTGCGACGTCGGCGCTGGGCGGCAGTGTGACGGTGAAGAGTTTTCAGATGCAGAATATTTAAGTCTTGGGTTGTTATTGTTCGTCTGTAAATACTTTTTTTGAGGGGGGCGGAAGAGGGATGGAAGGACGAGTGCAAGTGAAGTTTGAGGATTTTTGTTGTAAATATTATTTATATTCGTGTGAGAACTATAGTCTGGGATGTTGACGTGGTTTTGAAATATAGTTTATGGCGCCATTAGCGCACGAACACTGCTGACACCTAATTAGCCTGGACGTTGCTCATATCTGGTGATTGATTTCTATATTGTATGCTGTAGTTCATATTGTGTCTAGCACCTTCAATGGTTGTTTTTTTTCTTCATTGCTCCCTCGACTACTTACACGGGGATAGTTTGCTGCTCTTCGCCACAATATGTGATGCGATTCAGCTGATTGCACAACATCTTGAAATCCATCTGACATGTCAAACTTATGATTCCTGAGGTCACAGAAGGCTACTTTTACACAACTGAGATTGAAAAAAAAAGATCCGTCTCTACTACAGGATCATTTGCACCAACCAGCATCTTCCCATCAGCATTACTTAGGATCAAAACTAACCCTTTTGGGTGCTAGCCCTAGCTGTTATCTCCGCTTCGCATACGCACCTCGGCATATGGTTCCATCAACTACCATCACCCATGATTCCCACGACCCAACAATCCCCAAATCAAGTTGTTGGAAAACACGTTCCGGAACAAGCGTCCAAGAGTGAGTACTTTCAGGAACAGTCCTACGGCATTCATCGGCTAACGTGGCATCACAGGCAGCAGAATGAAGTCGCTTTGTGATCTGCCAAATGAAATATTGTTACAAATCTTTTCTTGTGTAGATCTGCATCGCGAGATACGTATCCTAGGCTACATACCCGATGAGCCGTTGCCTTCTTGCCCAGATTATCAAGTGCTTAAAGATTTTCGCCTCTACAACTCCTGGCTGCTAAACGTTGCTTTGACATGCAAACGATTTGCAGCTTTAATTCCAGAGGTAGCATTGCGTACGATCGTACTGGATGTATATACACGATATGTGCAGCCCGAGCGTCCTCGACTTTGTTGGTCAGCACCATTTGCTCTCCTTCTTCAATTCAAGGAGAAACCGGATCTCATTCGACACATCAAACAACTTCGTATTCATCTTCCATATACCGATGAGCCCGACAGGTATCAGTGCGACAATGAGGGAATGGGCTCAATGCTAGCTTCATTACGTGTACCCAATGCTTGGAAGGTCAAACTTTTCAAGGATATCACAACTAGCTTTGGTCGAGGACCATTTAATGTCCTATTGTCAGTACTAGAGTTGGATGTGTTGTGCGTCTCCGAACCACACAATGAACCAAAACTCGAATGGGCAGAACAGCTCTCAGTCGCGCCCTTCACTCCCCCGATCATCCGCTCGCTGAGGTACCTTAGGATGGAAAGCGTACTACCCCCCGCCATTCAAGCAGTGGAGGTCTTTCGAAAGCTAAATACAGTTGATTTGAGCATCGCACTTTGCGGCCAATCACCGTTTGACATCGTATCAGCCTCAGAAAAATTTCTTGCAAACACCGCAGTGAACAACATCAAGCGTCTGCGTCTTAACTTCGAAGTCAGAACAATCGGAGTGTGGAGCAGTGCGAGGCGAACCTGTATGTCGAATGTGGTCAAAGGCTTCCAAAATCTGGAGAGTCTCACATACTATGCCGAATCGTCGGTAGCGAAGAATCCCTATCGTAGTCTTCGCAGTTTCCCCGCTTATCAAGCCAACATCCAAATATATCCAGAGGTTTCACTGTCTCCTGAATTGATCGAAGGTTACTGGGGTAATGCCACTTTCTCTCCTGAATTTAATCAACACTGCTAACCATCACAAAAGACCAAACGATATACGAGGCACGCACAACTGTCACTGACTACCAATGCCTTGTGGATAACCTCGTGCACCTACGCCCGTCTCTGAAACACTTGCAACTTCCAGGCGGCTTTTGGACGCTACCTGGCGCGGCTCGCAAGCCGATCCCGCGTTTCGATCAGTTCACACAGCTTCGAAAGTTGATTGTGCCTCAAGCAGCCCTCATCTCCATTAAGCTGGATAACATGCGGGTTGATACCGTCTCCCAGGGCGACTTTGAACTTTTTGCTTCAGAGGTGCTACCAGTGTCACTACGGCATCTCACGATTTTCGATCTCGATGAGACATTCTTGAGGTGCAAATGGCTGCAGCGATTGTTCAGTGAGCACAAGAGCCACGACCAATGGCCGGAGTTCAGAACCTTGAAGCTATTGATGGGGCCGACGTTCTCCGACGAAATGCTGGAAGCGCTTCTGGCAAGGCGAGTCAGTGCCGAGTTTTGGACGGTGGTCGATGAAGCCGGGTTTGACGTCATTGTTGGGAGGGACGACTTGGATCCTTCGTTGCTTCCCGACTTACGGTAGTGGTCAACGCATACTTACAAGGAATCGCAATTTTCTAGCATCTCTGAAAAGGCATATATAATTTACTATTAGGAATGTTTTTTTTTTCACGAGCTAGGATCCTTTGATCAAGCAAGAAAACCTGTAATTGAGTCTTTCCCTGACACCACTTGATTGAAAATTCACATGATTGTGAAGATTGGAACATGGATAGTCTAGGATTATTCAGTGAATTCATACATGTACATATGGACATCTATAGAGCAAAAACACAGTCATGTGGAAATTCGAGTTATACCAGCAGAAACGCCGCGCTCATCATAATCATCAATTCTCATAGGTATCGTCTAAGTTTCCGAACAAACAAGAAAAAAAAAACAAAATCTCAAAACAGCAAAAAGCTTTCCAGAGCCTCTATTCTATTAATCCGCAACTTTAGGCCTTAGTCTCAAAAGTGCGAGCCTCGAGGTCCTTCTCGACCGAAATGGAGTCTGAATCGGGAATAGCCTGCTCGGTACCGACGTGAGACTCAGTGTAAGCATCGAGCTCCTTGCCCTTGGCAATGTTGAGGTACAGAGGGTAAGACCAGGCGATGGCGAAGAAGCCAAGGGGGACACACATGGCCTTTCGGGTTCCGATGAGATCAGCGACGTTTCCGAGGACGACGGGGCCGACGGCGCCACCGCAGACGGAGGAGACGAGGAAGGAGGCACCGCGCTTGGTGTGGCGACCGAGACCGCGGAGGGTGAGGGCGAAGATGATGGGGAAGATGCAGGACTCGAAGAAGAGGACGAGGTTGAGCATGCTGATACCGCCCCAGTTGGTCGTGGTGGCGCTGCCGGTGTCGGTGCCGATGGCGGCGGAGATGAAGATCATGATGAAGGTCTGGAAGGCGAGCAGCACGTAGCGCGGCTTACCGCCAAAGTACATGATACCGGCAGCGGCGAAGCGACCGATAGCGAAGAGAGATTGGGCAATGGCGTAGAAGTTGGCGCCCTTGTGGTGGCTCTCGGTGGTGCTGAGTTGGGGCGATGCCTCGGCGAAGTAGTTGATGTAGTAGGCTGCGCATCCGACTTGACCGGCAACGTATGAGAACTGGGCAAAGGTTCCCCAGAAGAGAGTGTACTGCTTTCTGAGCGGCTTGTCGACGTAGCCGTTGCTGACGGTGGTCTCTTCCTGCTCGGCCATGTCGCTGTCCGTGACTTCGGGGATGTACTTTCCAGCAAAGAAGAAGATGAGAGCGAGGGTGGCAACGAAAGCGGCAATGGCAAGGTACACGTATTGGACGGCCTCGAGGGACTTGCCATCCTCTCCGACGTTCTTGAAGATGACCTGGGCAGCGAGGACGGGCGCAACGACGGAGCCAACAGCCTGGACGGACTGAGACAGCTCAAGACGGAACTCGGACCACTTGGGGGGACCGCAGACGGCAATGTATGGGTTGGCGCTGACTTCAAGAGTCGACAGACCAGATCCGGCAATGAACATGGCTCCGCAGAAACCACCGAATGATCGCTTCACGGCCGCAGGCCAGAACATGAGCGCACCGACGCAGTAGATGCTGAGACCGAGGATGAAGGTCCATCGGTAGCCGAACTTGCGCAGGAACCATCCAGAGTACGTCAGAGGACCGATGAAGTAGGCTCCAAAGTACGCGGCCTGGAGTCCCGAAGACTCTCCCTGGGAGATGTTGAGGGCGACCTGGAAGCGCGAGTTCAAGACATCGAGGAGTCCGTATGCGAAACTGGTCAAAAATGTGTTAATTCATGTCTGGCATGCAAATGGTATTGGATGTATTGCTTACCCCCAGCAGAAGAAGAGCGAAGTGACCAAGGCGACGGGAAGGATGGATTGACGAGCAGTGAGGGCCGATGCTCCAGTGAGAGCACGGTTGTCCACTGATCCGCGGCGCACCTCAGCAACCTCAGTGGCAGCAGGCTCTTGAGAGTCCTTTTTACCAAAGAGACCCATGATTGCGGGGTGGGAGGAAAGATAAAGATAAAGTCAAAGATTGACAATCCGGGGGTGGTGGTTCCCACACAAAGGCAAAGGAGGATCCCGAGATAGATGGGTCGAGAGAGTTGAAGACTCAAGATCTGGTGATGATGATTTCCTATTCAAGGGGCATTCGAATATATATACACTGCGTATTGTGCTCGATGCCACCAAGTGGTTGAGGTCGCGACATGGAGCTGGTGCCATCCAGACTTGTTAGTTCCCCACTAGTCCATCGGTAGTTCGACGCAGCCCTTGGGGGATAGCAACCTGGGTGTTGGGGTAAAGCAGGCCCTAGTTCTGTTCTATGCCCTGCTGCTAATGCATTGCCCCGTATGCTAACGCCCCCAGTCTCCGCAAATTTTCATCAGATGGAGGTTGTGGTAGGCTGGGTGGCTGTTAGGGCCCGCGCCATCCCTCCGAAAGTGCTGCCGATTGATGTCGGATGATGTAGAGAGCCAGCCAATCGTGTGCGTTCAGAGGCGGCGCTAGAAGGGCGTGTGTGGGTGTGCTCCACTTATTCTTGAGCCGCATCATTGATCAGACATTTCTTCTCCGTATGGGGCTCAATAGCTCTCTCCACGTTGCCAACCCCATGGAGAGAGGCCTAGCGTTTAAAAATTGGGACGCGCAACTGTGGAGTCAGCCCCTCTATCTGAAGCTCTAGCCACGCTCTTTGCTAACATTAAGCAGGTGTCTTGTCTACACCCTGCTGCTGATCTCTACTCTCTGCGTGACGTGCGGGGTTTGCCTGTAGAAGACATAAAAGATTGCTGCAAGCAATAGCAATGGAAGCTTGAGAAGCCAATTAGCAAACGAGAAAAACTCCTAGAGGTTCTGTGCTGCGCCATGACCCAGTTGGAGACTCCACGACATGGCTTGTCTAGCGTTGGCGTGCAGCCGGTAGCCTCTGGGCCCTTGGCGCATTCGGCCCTTACACATTGGGCAATGTTGAGGGTCTTGCAGCTGTCCAGGATGTTCTCCCAGGGCCTGGAGCTTAAATTCAGTGAGCCATTGCCGCGTAGCCGCGTATTTCGACGGCTCAGCAACATCGCTGGGTTGAACTGAAGCGCGTATGGAACTTTGTCCCAACATGCGCGAATTTACACCAGATCTACTCCACCTCACACGATTCTGGGGAGCATCCACAGCCTTAGGCGAATATCTTATCGAATCAGACGAGTTGTGGCTTGCATTGTTGTTGATTCAAGGCATGGGGATATACCATTCGCCATGCACCAAAGGAGGAGCATCACGCAAGGCTTCATGCACGGTTGCGCTTGTCGTCACTCCGAAAGCCGGCGAACAATGCTGGAAGCATAGGCTGATTTTCTCCCGGTGTTCTGGCACGTCGCTTGAGGATTCATCCTTCCTGCTCACTGCACCACACGGCAGCTAGGATTGGAGACGGTTAAAGCGGTTGTCTTCGCCACGAGGCTCACGAGATCTGCATGCTAGAGACCCGAAGGTGAGGGCTGACAGCAGTTCGATGCCCTCTTCTAGCGGTCTTCCAATATTCTTCTGTGCATACCGTTTGCGTAGCCTCCCGCCCTCGGCCATATCAGCCATCAATGACGTTGTTGCACTAAACCGCACACGCCGATGCAACCCATGTCAGCGGGAGGTTTGTCGGAGCATCCAAGGCCTGGGCGCTCGGAGGATCGTCACACTGCCCTCGTGCTCGAATGCGAACCAGCTCACTACACCTGATTAGATTAAGTACTCCCGGCTGATAGAAAGTGGGGTAGCGCCTGGGAGGCCCGACGCCAATCAGATAATGTCGTTCATCGGTGACACCAATCAACGCTGTCCACTTCCAAGGTTCTGGGCGGCACGCCTGGATCTTGAGGGCGGCGCCAGCTTAGCTGGCTACCACTAAGCTCAATCGAACTAGGGCTTGGGCGCTATTTGATCAGGGCATATCTCGCCGCAAGTAGCCGACCGAGTGGGCGCAACCTCTCCATCTGGGGAATTCTCGGCTTTCAACAACGTACCTACATACCTGGGGCAAGTGAATGCGGAGAGCCCGAATGCATGCAGGTGAACCCCAAGTGCATCCGAGTCATGCAACCGACTTGTTGGGCTCGAATGAGAATGCGAGGGCTATCGCGAAAATACGGCCTCTATCCTGCCTTGCATGGGAATAGCGTATAGGGTGCAGAGGGTATGTCTTCAGAAACAGCGCAATGCTGGTCTTCTGACATTCAGCTCTTGTCCTCAGTCACTCGTTCTTCATCTTCGATGCCATCTCAGGCTTCCTCGTTGGCTTATTCGTCTGGTATTCTGCCTCTTTTAATACACTCGAGACTTTCCAACAAGAAATGACTTTCACGCCATAATCACAGTGCGGGTGTGTGCTAGTTATCTGGAGATGATTTGGGTTTCTGACTGCACGTTTTTAAAAAGACATGATATTTGTGTACCAGAGTTGGATTCTACCGCCCGAATTCTGGCGTAAAGGCCCTTCACTGGCCGATCCGGGTCGAAGACATTGTCAGGTGGGGATTTTAGCTGGGGTACCACATTTATTAAACCATAACACAGGTATCCTAATAGGAAATCACGGAGGACAGAAATCGCCATATGAAGAAGATGTGGTCTAGGGCTACTTATGAGCCTATATCCGGTCTTACTTCGGCAGACGTCCAATGTCCGACACTCTTCAACGTCCGACGTTCGGCATGTATCAATACCAGAAGCTGTTGCCAAGAGAATGGATTACCAAAAATGGTTACTAACTTCCGATAAATTTCAAAGCAGGAACTTTGTACCAAGAGGAGGAGCACTAAAGCGTCAAGATTGGCGTATGTCAGACCTTTGACATGCGCTTCCGTACACAGCGAGTAGAAAGCGCGCCTTGCACGAATACACAAATATAACACAGTGTATTGTGTATGTAGCATAGGCTTGATACAAATATGGCAAACGTCTTGTACAATTTCTATCCCTGGTACCTTGTCAATATCCTCGTCATGGGAGCATCACGACCGCCGTTACATGCGAGACTCTCGACACGTAAATTACATTGGCTCAATACCCTTCTAGGTTTTCCTTCCCTTCGTCGTCTACCCTCTCCTCAAGTATCTGATATTGCCGTCCATCAAAAGGGAACCCCAAACCCAAGGAGTCTTCGTAAGTCTTCGTGGGAAACTCCAAATCCAGCGGGAGATGGCTATAGCGTGTTGCGCCTCTCGGGAGCAATTTCGCCGCGTCCTTCCAAGTCTACGAGGTCTTGTAAGTTTGACCCCATAACGTCTTTGTGTAGATGTCTTACCGAACGCGTTTTCAGCCCTTGTACGTTTTCCTCGTATCGTTCGACGTATCATAAAACCAAGGGGAATGCAAGTTACCAGAAGAGTGATGAATGCGATGATGGCTTCGACAGTCCATAAAGAGGCCATGTTGAGTGCAAATTGAGAAGTCAGACTGGTCGGCAGAGATGATGATTCAGACAGTTGTAGGAGGCAACTTCATATCAGTTACCACTGAGCTTGGCTATAGCCGACAGAACTCAGGTTTCGTTTCATTGGCCGATATCCCTATTGTCACATGCACTAACCACATCCAGTACCTAAACTCCAAGCGAAAGAGCGGGTTGGGCTCAGGAAGCAAATCAGGTTTTGCTTGATTGGCCAGAGACTTAAGCACCCCCATGCAGGAGGCGCAGCACAGCGGACTTGTGTTACTTGGACCCTCAAACTCAGGTTTTGCATGATTGGTCAACTTGGCGGCTTTGGCGAAGGCCTATACTATATCTACCTCGTCCTGACAGTGTTTTACGCTGCAGCCAAACACCCTCTTTATCAATCTCAATTCTGCACCTTCTCCCTCTGTGATTGCATACTCGCACATTTTGTCTTATTTTGAACAAGTCCACTGACCACCCGCGATGATGAAACAAACACCAAGAGTCCTCGCCGATAAAATCGACAACGCGACTTGGGATCAACACCGCGAGACCATCCACCGCCTCTTCATCCTTCAGAATCGCAAACTGGAAGGGCCTGAAGGCGTGATGCAGGTGATGTCCAAAGTCCATGGCTTCAGTGCCACGTAAGCTATCATGTCGCTATGCTATGCAAGGCTGAGACTGATAACCCTCTAGCAAGCCACAATATGAAGCCCGTTTCCGGTCTTGGAATATTCGGAAGAAGATTACAGAAAGAGAGTGGGTTTCGATTGTTTTGCATGTTCATGCGAGGGCACAGCAAGGCAGAAAAACTCAAGTCATGTTTAACGGTACGGTTCTTGACGAGGACCGGGTTGCGAGGGAAATCAATCGGCGCCTTTCGAGATACAATGGGCATCTGAATAACTTACAAGGTCAGTGTATGAGGCAACCGCTAATACAGAATTTAACCAAGATTGTAGAACTTCCCAAGGTGCCCCCAGGCTTCAAGCTGCAATCCCCGTCAAGTGCTGCCGTCCCGTATGCGGATAATGCCATATCCGATCACAACCCTACAAGCTGCTTAAAAGATCTTGATATCCATACAGCCGTCCTGTATGTATGCGGACTTTGGCTCATAGACCGACATAATCCACAAATGCGTCTTCCTCTATTCACAATAGGTTCATCCGACACAATTTGGAAGCATTTAATTGTACAAGAACGATATGGAAAGCAAAAACAATCGATGCCTTGGAATTATTTCCGCAAGAGTCTGGGTTTCTATCCGTCATGCATGCATGACTATGCCTACGAATATGTTGCAGATGAGCTAGGAAACATGGGTCCTGGACAACATTCTATCAGATGGTTTTTGTCTTTTGAATCATATCAACCATCTTCATTCAAAGACAGATATGACAATGGTTTCGTGTGGGAAATCGACGGTATAGTAATCCTACGCCATAAGAGTTGGCATTGCAATGATTGCTCTAATCACCAATCACCGTCCCCAGTTCTCAACCAGTGCGACCAGTGTGGTTCAGCGGATGGAATATTGTTGGAACAAAAAATCAAACGGCTCGTCCGATTGAAACTCGTCATTCCTGAAGCTCTGTTGAATGTAAAAAAAAGGCGCGCGGGAAATTGATAGGTTCTATTGGCACAAATGGAATTTGGCATGTTGCGACATATGATGGAACGACCTGTATTCACGACGAGGCGTAGAACAGAAATTTTGCGATCGGCCCAGAATATACTAGTCTTATTTTATTCGTATTTTACTACTAAAAGACGAATAGCACTTCTTTCCCCTTTCGCTTGTATCCTTAATATCATGCGAATAAATGAGACAAAATAGTTTTAATCCCCTGAAGAATATCTTTAATGGCATATAACTCTACAGTGGAAAATCACAAGACCTTGCAAGAAATTCTAGTAGGAGAGGGTAAGAATAGTTATTGAAGAGTATAATGTATGAAGGGCATTTTTAGTACAGAAAACTAACAAATCCAGCATTTTTTACTTCGCAAGGGCCTCCTACATGTTCCGTCGTATGCGCCTACATGCGGTAGGTAGCAGAATCTTATTGTGGTACCTGATGTCGGCAGGTGTGGGTATGGTCTGCCATTCATTGACCAGAAAAATAATCTGATACGCAATGCGCCAACCAGATGCAAATGATTAAAATGATAACTCTCGCATTGAACATCTAATCGCACCCACTTCACTCTTCTATCCAACCCCAACACCAATAAGCGCGCGCCAAACCCAACTGCAAAACCGCCCCAGGCACCTCCCAGTACCACGACCCTGAAACACATCTAGAACAAGTCGTGTATCGGCCCGACTCCGATTCAAACACACGAAAAAGGTTGCCCAACGTATCACTGGTAAACAAGGCATCACTCATCATGCACCCGAAAACAAAAAGGAGCAAGGGTGGGTATAAAGCCATGTTAATAATTTCTCTCTCTCTCTCTCTCCTTCCTATCCAGGTATAATATATGTAGTAGTAGTGATACAATCAATCTCTCTCGCTCCCCTATCCATATCCACACTCATACTCCACCAAAAAAAACTCTACTGCAACTGCGTCGCCAACTGGGTAACCTGGTCCTTGAGATCCTGGCTCTCGCTTCCCGCAGCCTCGTTAACCTTATCCCTCAGATGGTCAACCTGGAGACCGGGAGCAGTAGGCGCCCTACCGAGCGCAGTTTCGATCCTCGAAATCTGCATTTGGAGGAAGAACTTGGGAACCTTGATGAGGTTGACCTGGGCGCTGCCTTCGCTGCGCAGACCGGCTTCGGTGGCATGGTACACATTGAGGGCGTCTTGGAAGGCCTCGAGGTTGGATTCGGCGAGGGGGATTGCGGTGTCGAAGAGGCCGAGAGAGAAGGCGAGGGGGCCCTGGCCTGAGGAGGCAAAGTTGATTTGGGAAAAGGTTTGGCCGCCAGAGGTTACGTCGGGGACGTTGTCGATTGTTTTGGCGTTGTTGTTGCACGTGACGCTGCCTTGGATTTGGTCGACTATTGCGCTCGTCTCGGCAGGGAGCTGCTGGTTGCCGATGACGAAGCAGGGCTTGTTTTGGCGCGCGCTCAAATTAGCTGCAGGCAGGGCGCTGGCAAGGCTGCCGAAGAGCGCAAGAGCAGTAAGGGCCTTGGTGTACATCTTTTGGTCTTTGGCAAAAGAAATGTCGTAAAAGATGTTAAATAAAGTATATGGGTTTTTTCGTAAGAACGAAAAATAAAAGAGACTATGGTGTAAAGAATGGAAGCTAAGGCCCTAGCCAGAGGGGGTAGTGTAGCGACTGAATGAAGAGAGCGAGAGAGAGAGAAACGAAGTGACTGTAAAACACTGTAGAAAGTAAGTGATCAGCAATAGCATTACAATGTCCTTATATATAAACGGCTTACAGTCCTATCACGAACATGTCTTTGCCCAGGCGCAAAACGGATAACAAGGCAACATACCCCACAGTGTCCCTGTATCATCCAGGCGGTGACACCACCTCGACGTTTGGCTCGCGACATTTGGGGTTTGAGCAGGCCGGTTACCCACGTCGTCGGTTCGCTTATCAGCCCCCACTATAACCCGATTGTGTACCCTGCCCCGAATACGTTCGGAACACGGTCCAATCACATGGCTTGCTGTGCTTGGATTTCTCGGAAAACAGGCACGCATTTCTGGCATGCGAAACTTGTGTGCCTTGGTGGCTGGATACTTCAGAGGAGAAAGGGGCAGGTAGTAAGGAGTTTGCAGTAGTTGCTCAATGCCGCAAATCCTCATCTGATTTAGCCTGTGTTACTGCTGTGTGAGGTCTGGCAAGAAATCATAAAGAAGGAGGATTGCATGTATGCTCCTGCTTCTGTGGCAAAGCAGATGGTGGCTTAGGGGGGTGGGGGCAGGAAGGAGGTGTGGCTTCATATTCAGTGTGCATGTGTACTACAATGTCGTCCAAAGCGGGGCGAGCACGTGGATCAAGAACTATCCCGCCAGTCCACTAGCATATCCCTACCACTGTGCACCTTTTAAGCATCAATCCACACACTCGCAACCGACCCTGATCATCCATTGCATGCACGGCATATGAGGCGACTAGTCAATTCTGCTCCACTACTACACGGAATCTCCGCCAAAACACTGCAGCGTTCACCCTGGTATCAGTCATGCGCACTATCCTAACTCTCGGTTGGCGTCAATGGGCCATGTGCTCGAGAAAACACCGTTCTCCAAGAGTCCGTCTATACAAGTAACCCGCCCTTGCTGCGTTTTCAGTCCGGTGCCTAAGTACGCCATGCTAGATGTGAAGGTGCATATGAGCCCTTGGAAAAGTATATAAAGTTGACAAAAGAAAGAGAAAAAAAAAGTGTATCCGCTTAAGCGGCGCTAGCATGCTATAAATCCACTTTTGAAATCCAAACGAATGCAACAAGGTATAAAGTTATTCAAGCTAAGCTGCGGTGGTCATGGAACTCTGTGGGGGCCGCTCGACATGCTCAGCAAGGGGGCTCTTGGCTTTTGCGGCATGCTGATCATCAGGCGCTCGTTGACTCGGCGTCGACTCTTCCGCGATATCACTCATGTCTGAAGCTGCGCTGTCCGAGTCGGATTCGTCAATCTTGAATGCCTCACGGAAGTTCGCAGGGGTTATCGTTTGAGATGAGACGTGTCGCTGCTTTGTCGTGTCTGCCGACAGCTTCCGAACGGCGAAGGGGTCGATGTTGTCGCTTCCTGGAGACCATGGAATTGCTGAAGTACCACTAGCAACACTACCATCCCTTTCATCGGCGGATGCTGCCTCAGCTGCTTCTTGGAGCTGCTTCTTGGTCTTCAGTCGCTCTTCTGCTGTCATATTCTGCCAGTCAGAACCAAACTGGATAACAGATGCTTTTTTGCCATGGACAGTGAAGCTGCCCTTGCCACGTGCCAGTCCCTCACTTTCGGTCGTGTCACTGGCAATCGTAGATGCAGAGTCTCTGCTCTTGTGACCACGGCGGTGTGACGAGCTACCACGAGATTCTCGAAGAGTGCGGTGTAAGCTTCTTTTTTGTCTAGTATGTGATCTAGGCGAGCCTGCCAAAGCGGCAAGTGCTTGTTCGTTGTCGGGTTCAATGCCAACCTCTGGTCGAGTTGTGCCAGTTGGTGATACCTCGGGTAGCTTGGAGTCCAACTCTTCCACTTCGCCGGGGGGTGGAGTGGCATATTGCGACCCGTTCTCAGAGTCAGACTCCGAATCCGAATCCGCTGTGCCATCACCTGTGGTCGATATAGAAGGCCGGTGACCAGCGACATAAGACGGCGATCGTGCAGAAGAACTTGCGAATGAACTTCGGCGGTCCGATGTCGTGGGGCTCATTGATATTGGAGCTATGTGGAAGTGGGCAGACGGATCATTAGGACTGGATTGCCGAGATGTCTCTGGTGGCGTCTTGAACGCTTCATCCCCACCAAAATCTGTTTCCCTGGAAGACTTGGTCCCTGGCCGACCCGACAAGCCAGGAGACAATGGGGGCGGCTTGTTTCCGCTGGTAAGTGAGCTAGTTTTCGAGGTCAACCTTGCCAGACTATTGACTTTGGAGCCTCGGTGAGATTGCTGAGGGGAAATCTGTGGCTGCTGGACTTCTGAAGGTCGATCGGTTTGCGCTTGTCTGTCGATGCCCCCTTGTCTTTCATCTTCGAGTTCCTGGGCCAAGATGTCACGGTGGCATTTCATGCGCCAAATCTCAATACGGGTCCACTTCAACTTAGCTGACAAGCGCCCCGCAGCATGTATAATAAGTTCCCTCGTCTTTGGCTGAATAGGCGCAAGAATCTGAAGATGTCTCGCATCTCTCAAGCGTGCTTCCAACTCTTTGATAGCCGAGGTCAGCTTGTCCTCGGATTCGGATATGCGCACCTGCATGAGGTCTTTCCGGGCATTCATCATTTGCTGTGCAAACTGGCTGTCAATCTTTCCACTTTGGACCGTCACCTCGCCAGTGGTTGTCGGTATTGTCCTGGTTGAATGCGAAGACTCTAAACGCCTCATGCCCCTGTTTCTCTGCCCTTCGTACAAGCCACCAATCATGCCTCTGGAGCGAACACCAAGAGTCTCGAATGCGGCAGTATAGTTTAGCACACCTAGCCACTCATTCAAATCCTTCTCGTTATCAGCTAAAAATGTTTCCTCCCCGGCCTTTGAAAACATGACGAAAGCATGCTTATGTTTCTT